AAAAAAATTTTGAATTTACTTACTTGTAGCCGGAGTTAGAGGCGGTCGGATACTTATGACCGCTACTGTAAATAATACAATATTTTTTTTGCAAATTGCTTGGTAAACAGAAAAAATATACTAGAAGCGCCCATAGTAAAATGGACAAATTCTGTGACAATCACGTGTCCTGTTCACAAGATTATTGAATTGGGGTGTATTAAGGGTATCACGTTTGAACATTGTTTTTACTGACGGTAAATTTGGATTGCAGAGCTTATTGTACAAAATATTAAAGGATTTTTTGAAAATTTCTCGTATGTCCAAAAGTATTTCAATTTGATCAACGAAGGATAACATTTCTTTTAACGATGCCGGAACTGAAACTTGGCCAACATGGACCATGACATAAATCCCTTCAATAAGATCGATCATATAAAAATCGATTGTATGACCTATAATGAAGTGCCAAAAAAGGTTAAATGAATTTCATGTGTGAAAAAACACTTTATATTATTTTGCTTACCAACACATTGAAAGCCGATTACATTAATATCGGCACCTTTCTCTATTGCGAAGTCCGTGCAGTCCTTCATAAAGACACCAAGTCGGATTAAGTCACAACAATTTTTATATACATTTGTCTTTTGTGATGGAGGACTAACCTCCCCTATGAAAATATTAGCGACTGTTTGAAATTGGTGAACAATTGAGACCACAAAATCAGGTTGCTTGGTTCGTCCCCTGAACTTTCTTGCCTTACTTTCGTTCAAAGCTGTGTTTGGCCACTGGACAATATGTTTGTCAGCATCATGAAATGCACCTTTCATTATATAATCCAAATAATTTGTGATAAGTGTGATCTCGCTAGGTTCATTTCTAAGCCTATCACTAGGCAACATTTCCAGACCTTTCAATATCACAGAACCCAAGTTTTCATCAAAAGTTTCATCATTTGAAAGTTCCGTTAATAACAATTTTATGGCTTTCTGACGTGACTCCTTAGTCGCTTGCTTAATCGCTTTTCTAAATTTTGTCTCACACTCTGAACTTAGTTCTATTTGTTGTGCTGGAGCGATTTGTTGGTGAATTTCATTGAGTAAAGGAGAACCAAATATATTGATCATTGTATTTGAATGAGAACCTGGGGCGAGCAGAAAAATCGAAGACAGTGACAATATTTCGTGTACATTTGATTCAACAAATAGACCTTCAGTCTTTGCAATCTTTACTGATTCATTTTGGTATTTCCGGAATAACTGAGAAACATTAGTATCACCTATCTTAAGATCATTTTCTGGATCCCCATCCTTAAAGCAAAGTTCATCTACATCATTAATTATTATGACACCATCCTCGTCCTCACTTTCGTCTTCATTCTCTTTCTCACTAAACGAGTTATCCATTGGCAATGGATGTAATGTTGGACTGCCTGGGGAAGGTGTAGTGTATACACATTGCTTCTTTGACAAACCTTCTTCGTTGTAATTAATATTTCCTCTTTCTCTCTTTCTCTTAAATTATATTTGTTATTCGCAACTGATTCATTCTAGGTGATATACGAATAAATCATAAATTAGTGTCTCGGAACTGTGCGAAAGCGGAATACTATTTATGCTGTTTCCGGACATCCCTAAAAGGGGAGACTTTTTTACCTTATTAGCATCCTCCGCTTCTTTTTCTTCATCAATTCTGGATCTTTTTGCTTCGTTCCTTTCCAAAAAATTTAACTGGGACTTATGAACCATCTTCGAAGTATCATTTAAACGTTCGTTCCCCGTTTGCAAAAAATTCACAATACCTTCAGCCTGAAAATTTATTAAAATTCATTATTTGTTTCAAAATCTATGATCCTGAAAGTTTAACCACGCGTTACCTCGACTATTTTTCGTTTTTTATCTAATGTATTGAGTTTTTGATCCAACTTTTTGTCTTCCCAAAAATCTTTAACTTCCTCCGATACCTTCTCATTCTTGATGAAAAAAATACAATTAGTAATTTTGCAATCATCTATTTTATTAGTGTAATCAAATTTCTAAACTAAATGTATCTATAGCGGAGCCGTAGCCTTTCGTACACATGGCCGTAGCCAGCATACTAGCCAGTAGAGTAACATTGCATTACTCAACGGAGCCGTAGCCTTTCATATACATAGCCGTAGCCAGTATACTAGTTGATAACACGTTACAACTTTCGCATGCTGAGATCCCGCAGGCCGTAGCTATTAGGCAACAAAGCGAATGTCTACACTACAATAGTAGCCCTAACTCTACTATAACCCACAAAAAGCTGACTTACCGCAAAATTTCCCAAAGCTTCTACGACTGTTTTGTATTGTTCATCCATTTCTTTATAACTCCGTTTAATTATAGTAAGTTCCGAGACGTATTGAGATTGAATTTTGTCCTTCTGAAGCGAATCTTTTATTGTTTGTGCCAAATGCTCTAAGTATGTGAATAGGGTTGGTTTTGAAATAGAATTCCAGTATGCTGGTACACTAAGTTTTTTACATACGTTTTCATTTAGCTTCATTTCAATAATACAGTAGTTCGATAGTTTGATGCAAGAATCGAGAGCGTAATCTGTGATATATGACAAGGAATATCCTAATACCATATCCCATCATTAATTCCATAATCCGTTTCATTTGTGCCTTTGTGATCCTCAAAAAATCTTGGAACGAAAAATACTACAGTGCATACAACCTAGTCCCAACCAAAAATTTTTTAAAGCGGCCAAATTTGAGATGTCGATCTTCTATCACGTGATACGGTAACCTTGAAATTTTATTGGTTCACATACACGTGATAAGCGTGATAAGCGTAATGGAAATTTTAATTTAATAAAGCATTTAAAGTTTTTTGATTTTTGGTATCAACATTAAATCAAGTACATATATAAATTGTAACAAGTGTTAAAAATAAAAAGAATTTTTTTTTATTGATCATTAGTTAAATAAACTGAAAATTTGAAAATGTTAACAAATATTGGGTAATTTTATCATTGCAAATCCTGAACTGTATCAACCCGATTTAATGCAGTAATCCGAATGTAATCAATCAATCACAATAGTTTAAATACATATACTAATCATGATCAGTTTCCCTTTCCCACACAACAAATAAAAAATTTTTTGCTTTGCATATTATAATTAGAAGAATCTTTTTTTTTTTAAAAAAGAATCAACATTAAATAATAAAGCAGTTAACTTACCTGTATGGTTTATGCTCTATCATTTGTTAGCTAGATTTCATTAGAGAAGACTTCCAATTTACTAACATGCCATGTCCAACAAAATGTCAAAAACAATCAAGAAAGGCTTGTAAAACAAAGGCTATAAGTAAAAGCACATAAGTTGATTTTCATGATGAACTGGATGGTTATGATGATGATGATGATATTGTTATTCATGATGAGCTAGAAGAAAATGATAATGCTGCAAGTATTGTAAGAAAACTTCAAGAAACAGCAAAAAAATACCACTAGGAATATGCTTCACATAAAGCACGTAAACTACGTTATATAGGGAATTCAAAACGCACTAAAAGACAGAAGAATCAGCAACAGCGTGAGGTAGCAAAGGGAATTCTTAAGTTGCATATCTTTTGAAAGGTCAAGAAACCCAACAAGGAAATTGACAAGGAGGTGGCCAATGAGGATAATATAGAAGTGGATAATGATACTAATGAAGATTTAGATGATGAGGTTAATGAACATTTGGATGATGAGGTTGAAGGTTATAACTGGCATAATAAAATCCCAGATGCTCTCAAAAATTTGGAACTAGATATCAAAAAAGCAAAGGTTAATAGTGAGGTTTAGATACACCTAAACGGCATTTGTCTTTATTTCCAACTTATAAAATATAACCATTCGAAAATGAAAGCAAGCGAGATGATTGCTAATGCAGTAAAAAAAGGAGTATACCATGCTAAATGTATTCATTCTTGAGCACGTAAATATATAATGATCTACAAAATTTCCTATCCCGTCAAGAACATCACACCAAAACATGAAGCTTTCTCTAGGATGAGAACATTCTTCATAAAGTAAAAATATATGTTCAAGAGCATAAGTGGAATATTACTTCACAGATGCTAATGGTGCAAATGAACGAAATTATTTTGTCAAGACTTAGATTTGTGCTATCCCTAACCATTTATATTAATACTGCGAGAAACTATTTGAAAGAACTTAGATATAAATATGCTGAGGTGAAAAAGGGTATATATATAGATGAACATGAGAGAGAAGATGTGGTAGCCTATAAGAAAATATTTTTAGAACAGATGAATAATTTTGAGTATAGGATGCCTATCTTTTCAGGAGATAATTTGGAAAAAATAATCTGGCCAGACAATAATATACAAAGACTTATCCTTGTCACATATGATAAGTGTATTTTCTCAGCTTATAATGGAAGTCAGAGTCTTTGGATTTCTGATGGTAAACAACCTTTATGAAAAAAAAGTAACGGTCGCTCGATTCTTGTTAGTGATTTTTTGATTGATATTTGTGGCCGTTTTGCACTTTCTGACGAAATGCAAACATCAAATGACTTTTCTAGAGAAGCTTATGTCATTATACACCTAGGCAAAAATAACAATGAATGGTGAAAAGCTGATGACTTGGTAAAACAAGTAGTTGAACGTGCTATTTCTATATTTGAAGCACGCTTTCCAGAATATCAGGCTTTGTTTGCATTTAACAATGCATCAAGTCACGCTGCTTTTTCTCCAGATTTGCTTATTGCCAAGCATATGAATCTCAGCCCTGGTGGAAATCAGCAAAAAATGCACAGCACAAATTTTGGTGAAGGGATTCGATAGGACATGGTCTTCCTATTAGATTATCATATTACTAAATTACGTGAACAGTCAAAAGGATTAAAACAAGTTCTGATGAAAAGAGGATTATGGCCAAATGAAGGGTTAAAATTAGAAAAAACACGAGAAATAATGAGTCAAGAACCAGACTTTTTAGCATAAAAAAGATGATTAGAAAAGGTTATTGTTGCAGCTGAATATCAAATTATATTCTACCACAAGTTTTATTATGAGCTCAATTATATTGAGAACTTTTGGGATGCAACCAAGAAATTTAATCGATCATATTGCGATTACTCATGGATAGGGTTATAAAGAACCGTTCTATTAGCTTTTGCTTCTGTTTCACTTACAACTATTCGTCAGTATGTAAGAAAAGTATTTCGCTACATGGACGTATACCGAAAAGGCTTGATAGGCTGGGCAGCAGAATTTGCAGTCAAAAAATACCGTTTATATCATCGGATTTCTGATTTAGTTTTATAATCAGTTGATACTTAGAATAAAAGTTTCATTTGATACATATTTACTCACACTAGTTATGGACAAAAAAAAGAATATTAGTGATTGTGTAAATAATGTGAATGCAACAGTAGCAATTAGAGTAAACTGCTTAAAAATTAGAATACTTATCTTGTTTGAATATCTATTTTTATCTTTTTTCGAATAAATAAAGAAGAGAAATGCATCATTTAAATGTTAAAGGCTTATATTTTGAATTTAAAAATAAAATAATTCGTTTATAAAAGACAGAATAGGAGACAATATTATTTTATTCTCAATTTAGTTACACTAAAATATGATCAATATAATCTAACTTAATGTGTTTCAACACAAATTAGCTAATCAACGATGAGCATATTAATCACATGTATCATGTGTAGAGCAGTCAAAATATCTGATTTATTAGTAAAATGTCCTAACTTTGAATTGTTACTGCTCCATTGAAAATCATTTTATAGAAAATCTAAAATCGTAATTTTGTTAAGCTTGAGCTACTCTACCATTCTATGATTATATTTTATGTTTATTATTTTTTTTAAGTAAGGAGTAGTAATTTGAATTTTGTTAAAATTTAATTGTTAAGACTAGGTTGTATGCACTGTATTAGCTTGTAATCCTAAGTCGCTTCATTGAAATGCATAGTTACAACTGGAGTACTCTCACCTTAATTGCACAATGTTTCGTACGAATTTTTTTCACTGACACTTTTTTCATATTGCGGTATGATATGAGTGATGCCCTATTTTAGACTTTGGAAAAAAAACCTTATATCGTACAGCTTCTATTCAATTTGGCAAGAATATCGTATCATGCATTTCAGGTGATCAATTTCACATGACTGGTCTAAGCCATGATCACGAACTTGAATTTATTGCTTGAAGAGTTACAGCTAAGATAATATTCCGTCCTATTTCTATACCATTTGCTATGTAATTCATAATTCCCATGTTTTCCATTACAAATAGGGCATAGTAAACTCTACGACTAAGGTAATGCAAAATTATAATTATCAATTCCTTTAAAACTATTTTAGAATTTAAGTATGTGAAATGCTCTAACACAGATTTGATAATTAATTCTGGATCAGATTTGACATTGAAGGTGATAGGCTTAAAATCAGAGACTTGAGGTTTTTCTGATATACTTATCACAGCTTTTGATAATTGCTATGGTTAGAGTTCTAAATGGGTCAGGTCAGATTGGATAATTGACTTGACCTGACCTGTCATATTTTTTTCAGGTTGGATAAAAAGCTATCTGATATATATATACTTGACCTGATCTAATCCGCAGGTCAAATATTTTAGCAAATCGGGTTGGATATCTGATCTGACCCGCGGATAAAATCTTTATTTCAGGTCAGGTTGGGTATCCGACCCGACCCAAAGGTCAAAAAAATAATTGCTTGTTTAGCCGAAACTATAAATCCCCAAAACTCCAGAACTCCAAAATTAATTTCAGTGGTTTCGAAGATATTATTTTAACTATAACCTGAAACATATTTCAGAGTTTTGGGGATTTATTAATAGTTTTGGAATTACAGAGGCAAATTAATAATTAGTTTTAGCAGTCAATTTT